TGTCACGTGATAATTATGTAAACAATGACTGTCCAGTTTGTGCGAACTTGTACCTCTATACTTAGTCTTTTGAAATATATAAGCTAAATTACTCTTCTGAACAAGACAACAGACAGAGAATGATTTATTCGAAAATGTCACAAAACCTTTCTCCCTACCTTAAAAAGCCATAATTTAGATAATTAATAATTAAATTTTATTGAAAAGCAAAATAAAGACAATACTAGAAGATACATGTAAGTTTTAGAATGTTTATGTTTGAGTGAGCATAAAAGATATTTTAAAACATATAGTTTTCCAATCATCAATGTTTAATTTAAGTTATACATTCAAGACAAACATCTGCTCTAAAATGGTTATTTTCTGAAAAGCGCCAGCAGTGGCAGACTAGAGAAATGGTAGAAATTGGCAAGAAATACTTCATCAATCAAAAAGCAGAGACCTTGCCCTCAGACTTAATATTCAGGTCAAGGACTTGTGGCATGGATAGTACTTGCTCCTATTTGATTAATAATAACCCCATTAAGTGCAATGTTTCAGCTGTTTTATAAAAAAAGGCAGAGGTCTTCAATGAAACTGTCTTCATGTATATTTCATGTTGTAGTATTGTATCAATTAATAAAAATAGTCCTGTATCCCCAAAACACTGTTGAAACTTGTTGTAATAACAAATGTCAAAAATCCAATATGAACTTTTGCAATCTTTTGCAGCAACATCTTCAATGTAATTTGTCTGATTTTACTGGCCAGGTACGTGTGAGACTCACATGTTTGACAGGAAAAAGGAATTATTTGATAAAATTTAATGCATTTAAAAAAAAAACTTTTTTGCTGGTCAACCTCATACAGCAGAAGTCAATGTCATAATGTACTCTATTGAATATGAACTACAAATTACTTTTTGTTTACAAGGACTTTGCAGAAAAAATCTCATGCCCCTACCCTAGCCAACAACTCTTACACCACCAGTGCTAAGCTGTTCTGTTGAATCATCTTTCCACCTCATCTAGTCTCTTCTAAAATATACTGTGAATTAGTAAGCTCTGTCAAAACAGAATAAGTTGGGTTTTCTGAATCATGAACAACATGTATGCGTTGTCTGGACAAGGAACATAACTGACCAAAAAACTAGCAATAGCATTTTCAGTACGGAATCATTCAATTTACTTATTGAAAAAGAGGATCAGATACGAGATGTTCACTTCGAGGCGTTGCGTACGTGTTTAATATCGTGTGATGGAACATTATGTATACATATGCCCCCCCCTGGATTGGATAAACTAAATGAAAACGTGACAAGAAAAAGACACTTGTCATATTTCTAGCTGGCCTTGAGTTTTTCACGTCTGCATGGGTTTTATTAGTTTGTATCTTATTGTACGATGCACTGCACAGACTGGTACAGAAGCCAATAAAACACTCAGTTTACTTAGCCAACATTATTGGGGGCAACTTGTACAAATATTCCGGAAAACAGGAAAACATGCAGTGTGGTATCTGCATGTTCTTGGCAGCACAAATTATACACAGGTACTTGAGTACCAGTAAATAGTAATGACCTGTGTTAACAATAGACTAAGGCAGTGTAATAAATCAAGTTAAATCTAGAAAATATCCATTATGACAGAGTTGTACAAATATATTATTTTATTTGAATTAATTCATTGTAGAAATCTGAAAAAAATAAAAATGAATTTACCAACAAATGAGGAGAATTAAAACTCCCTTACTTCAGCACAAGGAAATTTGTCACACACACTTTGTTCATAAAACTTATTTTTGGAAAATAAAATTTATATTACAATATGGAAGAAGTTTCAGGACTTAATTATACCATTTCTTAAAAAATAGATTTCATTTTGACTAATGCATCTTATAAATAAACACAGATTATTAAATACCTTGTATTCCGAATGTCAATGATGTAAATACGACCGTCTTGTGTTCCACCAATCACCTGACTTGTTGACAACATACAACAACAGTTAAATGAGTCTGTACCCGGTATTTCAAATATCTAAAGTAACCAGAAAATGAGGATAAAAACATTAATTCTTAAGATAATCAAAAGACAATAAATAGAATACTGTAAAGGGGTAATTATTCACTGGGTTTTAATTTAGCTTATTTCGCTGACTGGAAAAATGCGCTAAATTAAAACACAGTGAATATGTAAAATTTAGCATAGAACACATTATCTAAATGACGAAACCGTGAATTTAAAACCCACTGAATATGCCTGAAATGGTAAATCAGTGAAATTTAAACCCAGTGAAAATTAGTCATTTTACAGTAGCACATATGCATGGTATACTATATTTTGTAGAATGTATATTAGCAATGCATATACTTAAAAAGTAAATGTCAGAAGTGAGTTTAGTCAAAATTAGTTGTATATTAATGATATAGTAAGTGCCATTCTTCGTTACATGAGTGCACTACGGAATATCTACTATCAGTTTTCTTTATTCTGCACCCAATACATCTCCTAGTTTTATATATTTCTTATAAAATACATAAACTTGAGATGCTATGAAACTCTATTATTGTATAAGAAATGCACTGTAAAACATAATAAATAAATGTAATTGGAAAATTATTAATATTATTCTTGTTCACATTTATGAATAAATATTTACATTAATTTTGAACTATTTCTGCACGAAAGCCTATGAAGCTTAAAAATATGAGATTTCAGATTGGCCTTTCCAAATTTTACCTGAGTGACAACACAAAATAACACCCTTGAATGACAGAACTTTCTCATAAAATGCAATAAATACCAGGATCACAGCAAATAGCTGCCTCTCACATCCACAATATCATTAACAAATCACCAAATTCAGAATTCAAGAAATAACTTTCCAGTAAAAAGCTGCAAGTTTGCTTCAATGTTTCAAAATTCATCAAAATTTGTTTGGAAATCAAACAAGGTCAATAGTCTTAGTTTGTTTTCACCAAGTTTATTACACATATTCCATTAATTTTTTGTCTGTGCTTGTTTTGACATGTTTAGTTTATTGATGTTTTGTTTTTGTAGACTTATAAAATTTCACCTGACAGAAGGAAAACTATGATTTTGCTCAAATTTTCTATGCCCTGCAAATGAAATTTCTTGACAATCTACAACCACTCCATAGAAGCATATATTTAGAATTAAGTTCAGCAAGTTTTATATTTTTTCCACAAAAATTGAAAATAAATGTCATACATTGATTTGGTTATTATATTCAGATACTGTTATTCAGAGTGACACCTAACTATCATTCAATTTTTTAATAAAAAAACTTTTTAAAAAGTCAGCAGCTGATTGGTGACTTTCCCAGCCTTCTGCAACAATTGTATAATTCACAATATATTTGTGTCCAGAAGTTGTTTGCAAACACAGTTGCTAAATCATTGCCAAATCAGCAGATTATTCAAGTATGGTCTTCTTAATAAATCCAATCTCATTGTGAAACACTGCCCATAGGATTGTGTGTGATGAACCTCTGCATTATAGACCATTTTCTTCTAAATTGTAAATGACATCTGTTGCAATTGTGTCCAAGCAAATTTAGAACATGAAATATTTCATACTTCTTAGGTTAGATGCATTGAACATTTTTTGAAAAGCAGGCCTCCAAACATATCATTGCATATTAAGATTTTAGGTTGTCTCTGAACAATGAGTTCTGAAAAACATGACTTACTAACCCCTCACACTTACTTTCCTGTTTTGTAAGCATTCCACTCCTGGGTTTCATAACGTGACTGCACATAATGAATAATTACTAGCAATGAATGCGTCATAAAATAGATCACTTGAACCAAAAACAGAACATCATAAACAATAAAATTGCAAAGACTGGGCCAGTCTAAATATTTTAACTAAAATTAGCAGATAATAAAAATTACAATCCATGCATGGCACAGTCCCCGTTAGTTATCAAATTTAAGATATATAGTTTTGTTTATAGTAATATAGCTGGAATATAACCATGTCAGAAATATGATTTTTTTAACATTAAAATGATTGACATTTGTATCTGACAAGTACTTGTCCATATTGAGAGAAATTGCTCTGGAACAGCATTCAAAATCAGCCATTTTGAATATATGTATATATATAACTGTAAACATGATGTATAGCGAATATTTAAAATTTGAACATAATCAGTGAAAGAAAGTCAGAGATATGGCACGAGAACTACATTTATTAATACAGTCGGCCATTTTGAATCTTATCTGAAAACCAAATTATTTGCATCAAGGTCCCATAATGTCTAATGTATATATATAAGTTTCAGCAAAATCCATCTGTAAACAGCCGAGAAATTGTTGATTTTTAGGATTTTTTAGAACAAAAATGGCCGCCATTCAGCCATCTTGAATCAGATCGTAAAACAAAATGATGTGCATCAAGGTCCTATAATGTCTAATGTATATACCAAGTCTGAACAAAATCCATCTGCAAACAGCCGAGAAATGCTTGATTTTGATGATTTTAGCACAAAAATGGCCGCCATTCGGCCATCTTGAATCAGATTGTGAAACAAATTGACATGCATATGTATAATATCATGTATGATGTATGTGTGAAATTTGATTGTGATTGGTCCAGGCATTTCTAAGATACATACCGGACGCACGCACAGACACACGCACGCACGCACACACACACGCACACGCGGACACACGGAGGTCAAAACATAAGTCCCCGTTTTCGGACTGCGTCCGAACGGGGACTAAAAATGTATCATCAATGTTTTGTAGCCCTTTAAAGTTAGAGTAACTCAACATTAATTTTGTTTTCAGAACCATGTGTTGATTGTTGAAATTCTGACTTGTGTACATGTTAAGAAAGAACAGAATGTTTGAATTTCACTAGGACACGTACAACAACAAGATGGGTAAAAGAATCATCCTATAAATTGCAAATCTGGTGTGTATCTTAGACCGATCTTGATGGGAATTGCTTCACATATAATTTAGATTTTTTAATACAGTAATCATCAAATTATTGATCAGAAAATTCTTCAGGCATTCTGCGATGCCCTAAGATATGGAAAACAAAGTTATCTCCGGAAAGGCTCCAAAATTGTTGGCATTTTGCATGAAGACTTAGACATATCTTGTGAATACCCAAACTTTTAATATAGGAACAACTGTCCCGACTTAGAGAAAAATTATGCTTCAATGTACTCACACTTTGTCTAGATTGTAACCCAACGCCTTGAAGAATACCATCCTCTCGTGCTAATAATAATAATTTACCTTCTGTGCCGACTTCTCTTTCATCTAAAAGCAAACAGTATAATATACAAAATTATAATGGTTTAACAATACAAGTTACCCAAGACACTCAGTGAATCAGTGTACGTCCACACTCTATGGTAGCAAGACATTTAGACTGACCACAGTCCCACAGGTTAGCTGTACCAATGGTTTAAACTTACTTGTGATACCCTGTACTGTGCCAAGACTGACTGCATTATTGGCTTCCCCCAAATCACAGCTATTTACTATACATCCACACTCTATGGTAGCAAGACATTTAGACTGACCACAGTCCTACAACTTAGCTGTACCAATGGTTTAAACTTACTTGTGATACCCTGTACTGTGCCAAAACTGACTGCATTATTGGCTTCACCTAAATCACAGCCATTTACTATAGATCCACACTCTATAGTAGCAAGACATTTAGACTGACCACAGTCCTACAACTTAGCTGTACCAATGGTTTAAACTTACTTGCGATACCCTGTACTGTGCCAAGACTGACTGCATTATTGGCTTCACCTAAATCACAGCTATTTACTATACATCCACACTCTATGGTAGCAAGACATTTAGACTGACCACAGTCCCATAATTTAGCGGTACCATCACGACTGCAGGATACAACATTCCTCCCTCTGTCCACCATAGCAGTGTCTGTAATACCTATATTATAGAAAAGCAGATGTGGGTGCAGGCAGGGTGTTTTTTCACAACCATTTGTCACAGTACAGTAATTGTGGTAGAATATTGGCAAGAAAAGAGATGCCAACATCTGTCATTTGTTCATTTACAATATTAATATATTGACAGCCATTGGAGATAATGACTAAAATGTGTCAATGTGTTATTGCCGTAAACATCTTGCAAGTGTGTATTGCAGGCTTCAAGGTTTTCCACAAATGTGGTCATAGGCTACTTGTGTCCTAACATACTGTATGTCAAAGTATATAATTCAGCTGCCTACATTCTTGATTGAACATTTTGAAAAAAGGGTCGGGATATCATAAAAGTCACACAATGTGATATGGCCTATATTATGGATCAATTATTTGTTTTAATAATTAGCATTTTTTCCCATCATTTGGGTTTTTCGATGTAGTGCTAATAAAACAATATATAATGCATCCTTTATAGTATTATCTATGCTGCCCTGTGATTTTGGAAAAACATAAACCCAGTAGTTCACACTAGATAAGCTTATTCCTCCAATACATTTGATCACAAGGAGCAGTAGAGTAGTAGTTTCAATGTATAGCGCCCCCTAGTGGCAAAATAAGGTTAAAAATACACCTTGTGACATAGAATTCTGATTATTTTATTATATTATTTTTGATATAACTAAATTAGAAATGTAAATTTTTTCTAAATGATTGGAATAAAGTATTTTTCATCTTTATCTTTTAAATGATCAGTTCTTTTTAAAATTTTAAGATTATTTAAAAGATTAAGAAATCATTGTAAACACCATAATTTATTGAACCTGATAAAAAATAATGTGAAACAAAATGAGTCAAAGTATCATACTGTATTTCACATTAGTCTAGTCCATGTCTTTGTATTGTGAATACATATAATAATCACAAGTAGTATTTGGCTGTGTAGTGCCCTCTAGTGGGCATATTGTAAAACATGTATGGTGCATAATGACAAGTGATAGGAATCTTTTTGAGAAAATGATGTACATCTCGTGATTGAAGTTTGAAGTGATAAAACAGAGTTAATCATTGGTACCTCCTTTATGTCCTTTCAGCGTAACTGGACATTTGCCGTCTTCAGCTGACCAGATTTTTAACATCATATCAGATCCACCACTGAGTACGACCACACCAGATGGGAAAAATCGACAACAGTTGACGTCACCAAGGTGACCCTTCAGATCTCTCTGAAAATGCACACATTCATGTAAATGATTAATTACATCAAAAATTCATGTTTTTGTTCACTGTATATGTCAGCAAAAATTACAGTGCATCAACAACCTTTTGTATTCATACTTTAGTTAAAAGTACGCCCTCTATGGCAACAATGGGCTACTTTCTCATCAAAATCAGAGAATAAAACAGATGTCAAATTCATTATAGGACACAGTTGTTATTGTTCATTTCTAGAAAACACAAAAATGCATAAATTTAGGAAACAAATATTGAGTTTGATCAACACAAAGTTATGTACACAAGTAATTTTCCATTTCACCCTAATCCAATTTGGAAAGTTCATTGTTAAAAAATTAACAATTATGTTTATATTGCCCTTTATTAATTCACGTAATCTCTACAGAAACTAAAAGGTTCCAATCTCTTTTCAATTCAACATGCAAACACATTTCATCCACCATGTATTACCATACAACAAATTACTAAGTATGTAAACCTTTTCTTCTTCAAAAATATGTCAGTATCCTCTTTTTTATTTTTGAATTATATATTTCCTGACATTGTTTCATTATCTTTCTTTTTTAATTGTACAGGTCATATTTAACTTGTTTCCACGTCCCATGTATGAAACACACAACTGCTCTATATAATGTACAGGTTATATGTAACTTGTTTCCACGTCCCATGTATGAAACACACAACTGCTCTATATAATGTACAGGTCATATTTAACTTGTTTCCACGTCCCATGTATGAAACACACAACTGCTCTATATAATGAGCATTTTAGGTAATCCATTTGAATGCTTAAAGATTAGCTTCAAGTGAGGATCACATAGTTTCTTCTGTGATTTCACCAATTCTTGTTATTTATGAGAGACTGAAGCATGGTGATCTATAGTTGTATTTATGAAAATTTGAAATATGTTGAAATTGTGGTGTAAAATGTTTTCTTTCAAAAGAAATCTGCTGTAGCAAGATGGCTAATAACACTTCTAATGAAAGTTAAAATAATTATCATTGTTTATAATTCTTAAAATAACCGACAACAACGCTATACAATAATGGTCCATGTACCAATGTTGTGCCTTTAACAGTAGTATTTTTTCAAAAATGTTTTATACTTGCTTAATGCATATGCAAACAAAATGAACAATTTTTTGGCTACACATTTACAGGGGTTTCGTTAAGAGCCGGCTGCCAGCCATATGGCCTGCTAGAAGCCCAAACTGGCCGTCTACTATCACCCCTGACCACCCAAGGTCGGTCTCGCTCCAGTGCTTTGCACTGCCGAGAGCCTTTTTATTTTATATTTCGTCTGTTGTTACAGGATGATGGCCTGCTATTAAATGCATTTATATCATGGGATGTAGAGATAAAACCTAGAACGCATTTTGTTGGTCTATGTGTGAGTTAACATGTTTTGTCAGCAAGGTTAGAATGACCTTTGACATTACATGCATGTACATACCCTTATAGATCCATCACTTGTCTGCCATATAAGGAGCTGTCCATCCATTGCAGCTGACACACCAAGTGCTCCTCCAGATGAGATATCCATACTGGTAATCTGAAGAGGAGAGAGACCAGTGTGAACAAAGATTTAGATAATAAAGCAGCTGATGGGAAGCAGTGACAGTACTGCCAAGCAGTCTAAATAATTCACCAAAATATGAGGTAGCAGGTTGCCTGACAGCACTGCAATAGTGTTTGATTGGTAGGTTATATGTCTCTATTGTGATTGGTAGGTTATATGTCTCTATTGTGATTGGTAGGTTATATGTCTCTATTGTGAATGAATAGATGTGAAGAATTTATTTGTCTTCGAAACAAAAAAAACAGGCCAACTAGCCCGTCATTCACTGTTTTTGCAAAGAAAGAAGAAAAATAAAGTGTTATTTCATATTTAAACAACAATTATTTTTGTTTGTTTTTCAGATTATTGTTTCTTATGATCGGATTTGTTGGCCAAGTGAGAGCTAAAACAGTAGTATAAAAATCATGAACTCATCTACTGAAAAAAAAGTATTCAAATTTATACAATAAAGAAATTGAGGTCATATCTGGGCATACGCCCCGGGGGTATTTTTTTTTTTCTTGCAGGGGATGTCCAGGCATACACCCACCCCTATTTTTTCTCAATTTTCCATGTTCAGAACCCTGGGCTCTTACACGGATAAATATGTTATATCAATTGTTTTTTTTCAAATACATAACATTTACAAAAGAAGAAATATTTGCAATTGTGTACCGAATAAAAAGTTTTGATGGTTCATACCATACAATGTACTGGAAATATTTTCTAAGCAACATGCACACGAATTAGGATTGGACCATCCCGATCTCAAATTGTCACACGCAACGTAATATTACCG